AGACAGGTTCTCCCTGTAGCCCCAGCTGGCCTGGAACTCACTATGTAGACCAGGCTGGCCTTGAACTCGCAGAGATCCACCTGCCTCTGCCTCCCAGCCTCCCAAGTGCCGGGATTAAAGGCATATGCTATCATGCCAAGCTCAAAAATAAAAATTTAAAACCAGTATCCTAATAACTGCATTTCATCGACATTGGTGGGGTGATAATATGGTAAGCAGAGACCTGGAAGATATTTTTTAAGTCTCTAAGGAAATCCTAGAAATGAATTACAATGTAAGAAAGAAACTATGCTAGAGAGAATAGGCACATTAGTGAGTTTAAAGGCAAAGTACCAGGAGCTGGAGAGATGGCTCAGTGGTTAAGAGCACTGGCTGCTCTTGCAGAAGACTGAGGTTCAATTCCCAGCACCCACATGTAGCTGACAACTGCCCGTAACATGCAGGAAATAGACATATACACATAAAATAAAATAATACATAAAATATTAAAAAACAATAAAGACAAAGCATCAGAAACTATCCAAGATGAAACATGGGGAAGAAAGAGAATTTACCATCAATCACTTTCAATTTCTTTTTTGGGGGAGGAGGGCTTTTAGAGACAGGGTTTCCCTGTAGCCCCAGCTGACCCAGCATGTAGAACAGACTGGCCTTGAACTAAAAGAGATTTGTGCCTCTGCCTACCTCATGCTGGGACTAAAGGTGTTCACAACCACACACAGCCCACTTTTAGTTTCTAAAAAGAAAAAAAAATGATATTAATGAATGAAAATGAGATGGGTTCTAATGTGGTAAAAGATACGATTTTTTGCAATTTTCTTCTAACTTTTAAAAAAATTTTATTTTTATTTTATGTGTATGCATGTATTGCCTGTATATAGGTAAGTGCAGTGGGTAATGCCTGCAGAGGTCAGAAGAGGCTTTCAGATTCCCTGGAACTGGAGTTACAGACAGTTATTAGCAGTCATGTGGGTGCTGGGATTCGAACCTGGGTCTTCTGCAAGAACAACCAGTGTTCTTAACTGCTGAACCATCTCTCCAGCCTTGAATTTTTGCAATTTTCATACAATATAATTTGATGGTATTTAGAGTCTCCTCCCTAATCCACACTTTCCCTTACTGCCCCCAGCCTAATTTTTTTTTTAATTAAAAGTGAATAAATCTTTCTTTAAGGGATATTTCATGTGATTTCCTTCACTGTCCATCAAGGTTGCAGAAGTTCAGGACAATCCAAAGAGTCCTCAAGAGAGAAGACCATAAATTATAAGCTCTTGAAATGCAGTGTTTCTCTAGATCACCAATACTGAGCTTGCCTGTATCTCCTCAGAAAAACACAGCAGCGCTAGGAAGTGCCTCTGGCATTCTGTGGAGAGCCTCAATTTTTGGTCAGTGTTAAGAGATTTGGGTTTACAGTCCAACAAGCCCTCTTTGAAATGACCTACCCAGCCCAATTTAATGTACTATAATATATATAATAAGGCCTATAGAGACTAATTTGTGTCCCCAAATGTTCTTTAGTGTGGGTTCATTCAACACTGTGTATTAGTTACTTTTCTGTTGCTGTGATAGAAACACTGACCAAAGAAACTTATAGAAGGAAGAGTTTATTTGAGCTTATGGTTCCAAGGGGCAAGAGTCTGTCATGGTGGGGAGGCATGGTGGTAGAGGTGGTTGGAGGAGGAGCAGAAGCTAGGCTCTACATCTTCAAGCAGGCACAGGAAGCTGAGAGCAACCAGAGATCCAGCAAAGCTTAAGACCTCTCTAAGCCCACCTCCAGAATAGCCACACCTTCTAAGCCCTCCCAAAACAGTGCCACCAACTGGGGACAAAATGTCCAAATACTTTGCACCTATGGGGGACATTCTCATTCAAACCTACACACACTGGAACCTGGTTGACATATCAAGAGTTCCATCCTTGAGACTGTCTCTCCCCTTCCCAGCAGCCATTGGTGGCCAAATTGTCCTTAGGATGGGTTGGGGTTTCTTACCCACTTCCCCATGTCTATGCTGGGATTTTGTCTGGTTCGAACTTGCATTGGATTTGTGCATGCTGTCACCATCGCTGCGAGTTCATATAAGTAACTGACCAGCTGTCTGGAAAACTCTGTTTCCTTATGGTCATCCACCGCCTTTGGCTCTTACAGTCTTTCTGCCCCCCTTCCACTATGATCACAGAGCCTTGAGAGGCAGAAGTTTGCTATACGTGTCCTATTCAGGGATAAGCACTTTGCAGCCTCTTGCTCTCTGCACACTGACCAGCTATGGGTTTCTCTGTTAATTACCATCTGCTGCATTAAGAAACTTTTCTGGTAACAATTGAGAGATGCATTAATCTATGGGCATAACAATAAGTCATTGGAGTCAGTTTAATACAGTAGATATTTAGTAGAAAGCCAGTATTAGGCTCTCCCTTATGTCCTATGACCTATCTAGCCTCAGGTTCCTACACGTGATATCAGTGTCAGATATGGGCTCCATCCTATGAAGTAGACCGTCAATTATAGAGTGATTGGTTACTCCCATAATATTTGTGCCACTATTGCACCAGTGGCCATATCTTGCCAGGTCAGTTGTTGTAGTTCACAGGGTTCACAGCTGGGTAAGATTAATGATATTTTTACTTCTGGTAACATGCATAGCACCTTCTGGCACAATGAATGCAAGTGAGTAGATATGAAGCTCTGAAGTCAGCATCAGCTTGATTTCTCCTTGTTTGTTCTACAGCTCATGTACATAGTGTCTTCAGCAATAGGGTCTTGCCATCAAGATCTGGTGGGTAACCAAGAGCAGGGGCAATGGCCAGTATTGAGGGTCTATAGAATTCCTGGCCAACAGCTTCTAGAGAGGGAGTCCATTCCTAGCACTGTTTCCAGTTTTTAAAGATCTCTAAATATATGAAATTATCTGTCACTTCCAACTAACTTCCATTATACTGTCTTTTACTTTGTGGAAAATGTACCATGTGGAAAAATTTGTCTAATTCCAGTAATAAAGTCACTCTCTTGTAAGCAATGAGAGGAGGCAGATCACCATCACATTACCTCTTACAATCTATTTTTGAACCTCTGGGTTGAATATTAGATATCTCCCAACACCCACATGGCTAATAACAGTCTCTAACGGTCTAACAGTCTCTAACTTCTGTCCTCTCTTCTGTCCTCTACAGGCATAATACACATGGTGCATTTACATGCAGACAAAATGCTCATATACTAAAATATAAATAAAAATTTTAAAAGTTTTGCTAGATACAGAACTATTTTTTATATGTTTTATTTTTATGTGTATGCATGCATTGCCTGCATGTAGGTAAGTGCACCCGTGTTGTGCAATGCCCAAGGAGGACAGAAGAGGCTACTGGATTCCATGGAACTGGAGTTATGGAGAGTCATTAGCTGCCATGTGGGTGCTGGGATTTGAACCCGGGTCTTCTTCAAGAACAGCCAGTGTTCTTAACTGCTGAGCCATCTCTCCAGCCCTGATACAGAATTCTTGGTTGAGCCAGACATGGTGGTGCTTGCCTTTAATCCCAGTATTCGGGAGACAGAGGTAGGTGGATCTCTGGGGGTTTAAGCCCAGCTTGATCTACATAGCGAGTTCCAGGCCAGCTGGAGCTACAGGGAGACCCTGTCTTAAAAAGAGCATAATAATAATCATCATCATCATCATCATCACCATGCTATGGTCACTTTAGGAGGTTTTACTTGAGATAGCCAATGGCTTCTCTACATGTTCACAGCCTGTGGAAGGAATTGTTCACATGGGGATCAAAAGAGAAACTGAGAACATCATAGAAAAATAAGAGCCAAGTGTGGTGATACAGGCCTGTAATCTTAGCACTCAGGAGGCTGAGGCAGTTGGATTTGTGAGTCTAAAACTAGCCCGAGGTACATAGATCATATATCAAAAGAATTCATTGAAGTAAATGAGAGAGCTCTGGCTAGTTTGTAGAGAGCAATTCCCTTCTGCCTGAGAAAGAGTAAAAGTTCTGTATCACATTAATGAATTTAAATTTTTCTGTGCTTTGGTGATTTTTAAATTTTTTTTAATATTTATTATCTTTATGTGTGTATGTTGCCTGCATGTAAGTAAGCGCACCTGTGTTGTGCTACACCCGTGGAGGACAGAAGAGGCTGTCAAATTCCCTGGGACTGGAGTTACAGACAGTTGTTGGCTGCCATGTGGTGTTGGGATTCGAACCCGGGTCTCCTGCAAGAACAGTCAGTGTTCTTAACTGCTGACCCATCTCTCCAGCCCCTTGGTGGAGTATTTTCATATACAGAACATGCATTTCTTCCTTTTCCAATACATTTCAAAATATGTACTGGAGTAGTATTGGATGTGTAAGTTGAAGATAGAGTTCCTGAGGGCTAAGGAGATGGCTTAGTGGGTAAGAGCTCAAGAATGATCACTTGCACCCACATCAAAAAAGGGGGTGGGGCTGGAGAGATGACTCAGCGGTTAAGAACACTGGCTGTTCTCGCGGAAGACCCAGGTTCAAATCCCAGCACCCACATGGCAGCTAACAACTGTATGAAACTCCACTCCCAGAGGATCTGATGGCCTCTTCTGACCTCCACAGGCATTGCACATCACAAGTGCACTTACCTACATGCAGGTAATACATGTATACACATAAAAAAAAAATAAAAATTTTAAAAAATGGGTGGTAGTGTTTGCCCGTAATCCCAGTGTTGGGGGGCGGGGCAGAGACAGGTAGATCCCAGGGAGCCCACTGGATAGCAAGTCTACCAGAAAACAATAAGGTTCAAGCTCAGTGAGAGACCCTGAGTCAAAGGAAACACACACATACACACACACACACACACACACACACACACACACACACACACACAATCGAGCTCCTGAAAAGGCCTAGGGCCAAGAATTTGAAACTATGGACATTCAACAGTATTGCTTATGATATGTATGTTTGTGAATAAAATCAGTGTCTTTTCTTTATTTTCAACAGCGTAGTAAATCACTAAGGTGCAAAGTAGAAATCTAAACAGTGAGTAAAAGCAGATCACTGGCCAAGGATGTATTCTAGGACTACTGAATAGGATACTGCCATGCCATTTGCATGGCAGTGAGAATTTATAATGGGCAAAATCAGCTCAGATTTTAGTTCTACCAGGACTGAATCCTGCCTCCACAAACACATACATGACAACAAAAGGCTGCCTAGATACTCATACAATAATAAAAAAGAAATGTGATTTTACAGGTATTTATGAATCATCTGGCTGGGAATATAGCTCAGTTGTAGAGTGCTTGCCAAGTATGCATGAAGCTGTGGGGTCTATTCCCAGAGCCAGATAAACCAGGCATTGGTAGGTCAGGCCTGTAATCATAGTGCTCTGTAGGTAGAGGCAGGAGAATCAGAAGTTCAAGATCATCCTCAGCTACATAGGGATTCAGGATCAGCCTTTTTAAAAAAAAGCCCAGAATTTTCTAAGGTTCCTTTTAACTCTGTCACATAGAACTTACTGTCAAATGAAATGTTTCTTCTTCTGATAAAATGGGGTGGGTCACCATACCAGGTTAAAGTCCAGAAGAAAATCAGGAGGTTAATGAAAGGTCTCTTCCTCTGCCACAGCTCCTTCTTCATGAATGTTCACTTTTGTACCTAGTTTTCTTTTTAGATTTATTTTTGTTTTTAATAATATGAATATGTGTGTGTGTGTGTCTGTATGTGGGTATGTGCCTGTGAATGCAGGTGTCCACAGAGGTTGGAGGCATCGGATCCCCCAGGAGCTGGAGTCACAGGCAAGGTTGTAAGTCACTGGTCTAACATGGTTGCTGGGAACTGAACTGGGGTCTTTTGGAAGACTGTCTTAGTTTGTTCTTCATTGCTGTGACAAAATACTCTGACCACTACCAACTTGGGGAGGAAAGGGTTTATTTAGCTTACATATCCCAGGTCACAGTTCATCCGGGAGCCCAAGGTAGGAACTCAGGGCAGGAACCTGGAGGCAGGAGCTGGAGCACAGGGCATGGCTGCTTACTCTGGCTTGCTCTCCTGGCCCCTGGTCAGCCTGCTTTCTTATGTAACACAGGCCCACCTGCCCAGGGGTGGCACTACCCACAGTGGGCTGGGCTCTCCCACATCACTCAACAATCAAGAAACTATCCCACAGACATGGCCACAGGCCAGTCCAATGGAGGCAATTCCCCATTTGAGGCTCCCTCAACCCAGGTGTGTCAAGTTGACACTAAAGCTATCAGCACAAAGACTTAGAAGTGATACTGACTACTGAGACATCTCTCTAGTCCTGTACCGAATTCGGACATAGAATTACATATTTGTTTCCTTAAAGCATATACAATTGTGTATGCTTCAGTCCACATGGACCTAGAAATGCCTCTGGCAGAAAACTTTATAATTTTGTTCTTTTTGTCCTACTGAGGATTGAATCTAGAGCATCACATATGTTA